TCTCTCTCTCTCTCTCTCTCTCTCTCTCTCTCTCTCTCCTCTTCCTAAGTTGAATGGACAGGACTGAGAACTCAGATGAAGGAAGAGGCAAAATGCACTCAAATAAGAACACTCCCAGAGACTGTACTCATGGAACTCTGACATTGGATTGAGATATAAGCTAGCAGTGCCTGACTAATACATATTTCTACTAAATCCTCCCAACCCAGTACATTTTCAGTGCCAAACAAATATGGGCCCTAAAAAAATGTTCTTGGAGATAACTGTCAATAATAATAATGAAGGCAAAATATATATTTTCTAGAAAGGATGTATTGTATACTATGAATATTATTGGTGTGATGACCTGGAAAATCCAGTATTATATACTCAACTTTACATTTAAGATCATTAACATAAAAATGTATTGAGTAATGTATATCTTTATGTTGCTTACACAACTAAGTGAGAATTAGAATCTAACAGAAAACATAAGCAAAAACAAATAATGGTAGCTTTGATGAATAATAATTGGAAGATTTAAAACATTTTTAATAGCACAAAATTTGTTTTATTCTGTCAATATACTGACAAATGATTATGAATATTAATAATCTACGGATGAGAGAAAATTAGAAAAACTAATTTTAATAAGCTACAAATCCTTTCTAGGACAAGATAAAGTGAAGTAAATAAATCAAGTTCTTCTTTCCTAGGGTTTCTATATTTTGTATTACATTTCTTATACTTTATATTACATTCTCAGAAATGACTAGAAAATGAATTTGTTGATGATTGGTTTGGGTGGACACATGATCCAAACAAGGCCAATCAGAATTAATCTCAAGATGTTTGTTGATGTTCTTTAAAAAGTCACTCTCTTCCCATTGAGTTTGCTAAGCTGATAAAAAGAAAACTTGAAGCTGCTAGTGGCTTTTTTGCTGCCACATGAGAAAATGCCATCACAAAGGAAAACAGGATCTAGAGAGGGAGAAAAATAGATTTCTGGACTTATTTGAGTACCTGGATCCAGCCAGATGTCTAAAGCTAGGCTCTGTTCATGGACTTTCAATGTACTTATATGAAGCAAAAGTTTCTAGCTTTTGCTTACGTTAGTTGAATTGGACTTCGGTCTTTTTCAATCAGAGTCCTAATTAATATTTATATTAGGGCAAAAAAAGCAGGTTGCAAAAAAAGTATGTAACAATAAGATTCAGATTTTTATTAAAAAAACACACTTGTTATTTATTGTGTATGTTTAGAAAATATACTGGGAGACAGAACCTAGAGACAGAACCTAGCGAGAGAACATGGCAAAAGATCCTGGACAGAACCTGGCTACAGAACTTGGCTGTAGAACCTAGACAGAACATGGCAGGAGAACCTGGATAGAACCTGGCGAC